GGGCAGGAGATTTGGAAACAAATTACTTACAAAACTAGAGGCCCAGTGCAATTTGTGCACTGGGGATGGGGAGTCCCTCAGTCCGGCCTGTGTCCTCTCGCAGTCCGGGACCCCTCGCTGCTTACCGCCCACCTGCTTGCTGCTCCTTACCACTTAGTTCACTGCTCCTTAGTGCTGCTGCGGAGACGGGAGAGGCTCCCGCCACCATCGCTGTGCTCACCAGCTTCTGGCTGAAAGGTGCCCCCCTTTGAGAGGGCACTGACCACCAGGGGGCAGCTCCTGCATTGAGCATCTGTCCCCTGGTAGTCAGTGTGCATCATAGCGACCAGTTGTTCCACTGTTCGGTCAATTTGCATATTAGGGTTTTATTATATAGGATAGTATGCAATTAGTATGAGCTTTTCCTGTCCCATATTACTTTACACCAAAGTTGACAGCACAGCAAATTGTCAACTGAATGGACTTCAGATTTAACAGACAAAATTTCTGGTCTGTATGTCATATGTGAAAATTAACACCCTGTTAATTTTAAAATCCTTTTTGTTCTTTTTAAAATTTCTTTAAAGAGGAAGAAAGAGGGAGAGAGAGAGAAGGAGAAAAAGAAACATAGATGTGAGAGAGATACATCGATTGGGTTGCCTACGTATGTTTCCTGACCAAGAATTAACCCACAACCTTTGTGTATGGGATGTTGCTTCAAGCAAATGAGCTATACCAGCCAGGGCTTAAAATGCTTTTCACCAAGATTTGCTAATAATTAAATTAACAGGTTATTTTTTTCTGATTAACTCATTTATTTTTAACAAATTTTAGCAAATAAACCATATGTTGAAAAAAACACTAGTAATTTCACAGACATAAGTAAATATTACCTATCTACAACTATAGTCTACATATTTAAATCCGAGTCACCCTGGTAAACAATGTTTGGGGAATGATTAGCACGTGATCACACTGCATTTAGAGAGGTAATTATTTCTGTTGTCACATGGCGTGACTTTCTGCAGCAGTTTAAACACATGCTGGCTGATATTCTGAATTAGTCCCTTATACTGAGGTCTTACTGTATATATCTATATATATAAAAGCCTTGCCCTGACCGGTTTGGCTCAGTGGATAGAGCATCAGCCTGCGGACTGAAGGGTCCCGGGTTCGATTCCAGACAAGGGCATGTACCTTGGTTGCAGGCACATCCCCAGTAGGGGGTGTGCAGGAAGCAGCTGATCAATGTTTCTCTCTCATTGATGTTTCTAACTCTCTGTCCCTCTCTTATATTTTAAAAATAAATAAATAAAAAATAAAAGCCTAAGCAACCGGCTGACCAACTGACCATTCAGTAGCATGATGTGCACTGATTACCAGGGGGCAGACGCTCAATGCAGGAGCTGCCGAGCTGCGGTCACTTGGCAGTGGCAGGTTCTCGGGTGATACACCTGGAACCAGAAAGGAAGGAGCCTGATTCCAGAGTACATAACCCAAGAACCGCCCTCTCACAATCGGGAACCCCTCAGGGGATGTCAGAGAGCCAGTTTTGGCCCTATCCCCACAGGCCAGGCAGAGGGAACCCACCAGTGCACAAATCCATGCACTAGCCTCTAGTTTTATACACAAAATGTGTGAGTATACTAGAAAAACAATACATAACAGCATAAATATAATAAGTTGGCAATAAATTATCCTCATCCATTTTTTTCCACCAGTCTCCCAAACAAATATACAATGTTGCCTTTAAAAGCTACTAAATTCATTTGGACACTTTGTATTTCAGAACTCTTTTAATTACTACCAGTCTGGTAGTATGATCTGTAGATGAAATCTAAAAATGTCTCTAAGAAGCCACACCAATTTCCACCAATATAAAGTATCTTTGGAGGAAAAAGGTAGCATTAAGAAAACTAAGTGCTAAGTAAAAATTTAAACTAATCATATTAAACAAACATAATCTTATGAGCATAATACTGATAGATGTCATTTTTTTCAACATATAGACATTATTACCTAAATAACTTAACTTGGCTACAGAACTAGTGTTAAAATTTTTTTCTACCTATATGACTAGAAGTCATTTGTTGAGGCCTCCCCAGAATTAATCTCCCTTTTCCCTTTCTCAACAATATTTAGTTGATCTTAAATATAGGTGAATATGGGGAATGGTGATCCAATAACAGAGTTAGGAAAGATTAAGTTAAAGAGGTTTTCTATGTCATACTAAGGACTTCTAACTTTCTCTATGCAATGATAAACCAGCAAGAGATTTAAAAAATAGAAATCCCAGTATTATATTTCTGAATTATAAAGATTTGGGTGACAGTGTTGAAGATGGGTGAGGTCAGGCTTAAGGCAGAGCCATTAATTAGGAAATAATGATGAGTACTTAATTAAAGGGAAAGGCGACTTTGGAAGGCAATATGGCAATAAATGGAAATGCATACTGGTATATCCAGTAATTTCATTTCTAAATATGACCCAAGAGAAGTAATCCTACATAATTCACAAAGATATTACTCTAGAATGTTCACTGTATTGTTATGTGTAACATAAAAAGTAGTAAAACCTTCAATGACCACCAATAATGAAATGTATAAATACAGATGGAATATCACAACATACTTAAAAGAAATAAGTTAGATCTATGTGTATCACCATGGCTAGATTTCAAAAATAAAATGAGAAAAAATACATTGCAAAAGAATGTATATGGCAGTACATTATTTATCTAAATCAAAACACAAAACAGTATTATATATTTTCTGTTTACCTTACAATGGCTATATTCTGAATGCTTTTTCTGTACCAGGTACTGTTGGACTTTGGAGTCAATCATTTATTCCTCACAACATCCTTACGCCATAGGCACTATTATTTCATTCTACAGATGGGGAAACTGAGGCAGGAAGTTTCAGGATATTCTTAAAGGCCTACAAAAAGGAAGTGTAAGAGTCAGGATTCAAATCCAGTCAGCCTGGCACACAAAAAAAAAGTTGTACAGATTTATGCCACATTCTGAATGACTTTATTCTAGAGAAAGGGATAGATTTCAGGGGGGGATGGAGCCAGAGGAAGACCTGGCTATACAGACATACGTCAGAGATATTGTGGGTTCAGTTCCAGACCATGGTAATAAACCCAGTATTGCAATAAAGCAAGTCAAAATCTTTTTGCTGGTGGAGGGTCTTGCTTTCAATTTGTAAAAACGCAACACCCGTGAAGCACAACATAGCAAAGTGCAATAAAACGAGGTGTGCCTGCCCTAGCTGGTTTGGCTCAGTAGATAGAGCATTTGCCTGGGGACTGAAGGGCCCTGGGTTGAGTCTGGTCAATGGCACAAGCCCAGATTGTGGGCTTGATCCCCAGTAGGAGGCGTGCAGGAGGCAGCCAATCAACCATTCTCTCATTGATGTTTCTACCTCTCTCTCTTCCTCTGTGAAATCAATAAAAATGTATTTTAAAAAAACAAACACGAGGTGTGCTTGTATCTAAAATATTAAGAAATACCCAAATAATCTTTAAGCAATTTATTCATTTTTTTTCTCTAAAAAATGTAAACAAAAAAGTCTGGGTGAAAGATGCTAAAGTGTCAATCACATTTGACTATGGATGGTGGAAACATGGGGACTGTTCTTCTTACAAGGTTTGCAGTTTTCAGCACCTTTAAATTTTTTTTAAAAAGGCAATATCATTGAATGCGAAATTTTCCTTTCAATTTTTTAACCAACAGCCATAAAATTTGTCCCAGTAACTTATGAGTCAATCTTTCTCAACTTTGGCACTTACTGATAATTTGCACCGGATAACTTGTGGGGCTTGTCCTGTGCATTGCAGATTTAACAGTACCCTTGGCTTCCACCCACCAGATGCCAGTAGCAGGTCCCCTCCTGGTTGTGACAACAAAAAACGCCTCCAGTCAGGCAGGGGTGGTTGAGCATCCACCTAGGAAGCAGGAGGTCATGGTTTCATTCTGTCAGGTCACATGCCTGGGTTGCAGGCTCAATCCCCAGTGTGAGGTGTGCAGAAGGCAGCTGATCAGTGATTTTCTCTCTCCCTCTCCCTTCCTCTCTGAAATCAATAAAAATATTCTTAAAAAGCAACGCCTCCAGACATTTCCAATTGTCTCCCCTTGCTTTGAGAACAATCATCTCAATAAAGTATACAATTTACATCTCTTAACTTTATGCAACTTTGTTTCAAAGATTTCAATGATACATTCGTTAAGTGCCAAGTCAGAAAGTTGTTACAGAGGTGGAGAAACTTCCAAGTGAAATATCCCCAAATATAACCAGCACTTAAAATCTCGTTATCATTCCATAGGATGATGTCCATCCAAGGGATGATGGACACAGGCCCAGGGATGCCCGCTTTCTCCCTGCTCTCCCGCAATGATGACAAGGAAGCACCCCCAGCCCCGCCGCCCCCTCCAGGAAGGTCGGGTAAGGAAACACTCGCTGGCCCTACCTCCGCGCCCGGGACCCTGCATCCTACAGCCCCCGGGTTCCTGAAGTTCCACCCGCGCACACAGTTCCG